AAGAATTGTCATACGATATCTTTTCAAACCAATGTACACATAAAATATTTACGGTGATTTGAAAAGTAACACACACACACACACGAATGGATAAAATATTTTAAGAATTTAATTTCAACATTGACTTAATTAACATTATAAGTAATTCATTTGTTTATGTGTACATGTAGCTGCCATATCTGTGATCGGAATGATTCTGGAATCATGTAAAGTTTGATAAAAATGAAATTGAAATATGTATTTTGTCAAAGACTAATTTTGTTTGACTTATCATTGAAATAATATTCTGTATCCTTACTTGTACATAACTATTTAATAAGTGAAAATGTTTTGTTAACCAGACCAGTTTTTGGAATTATTTATATAATTATTCTTATATCATATACTTTAAGATGAAAATCTTGAAAGTATATACGAACAGTAATATTTTTGATGATTTATACACGTGATTAATTCAACAATTGATTAAACGGTATATAAGTGAATTCACTTGGTATTATATCTTCAAATTGAGGTTTAAGACTGCAATTGATCAGTATATAAGTGATTCTAAATTAGTATTCCGTTTTGATACATATGTTGTAATATGAATCATTATTGCTCTTTCATTTTACCAAAGATATATGACTCTCAAGAAATATACACGATGTTTCCTGGAAGGGTGTAGTTGATTAATCTATAAAAATCATAATAACTAGTAACACAGAATCTATAATTCATGAAATGATAACTACAGGCTGTATTTGTAAGATCGATTACACTAAGAATTCTCTTAAAAGTATACTAGAGAATGAGAATTAGAGTCTAAAATGGGTTTAGATGAAAAGTTATCCTTTTGAAAAATTTTGATTTACTAAGTTCACACGATACCAACCATGATATTTTCACGAAAATGCAAAGTATTATATTATATTATAGAGTTATAGTTTATTCTATAAACTCAAAATTTTGATACTTTTTCTGAAACCAATTTGAAAAAGATTATTTCAATTATGATATAGTTTTTATCCACATTTGTAATTCAAGGCACACTGGATAACTTCTCCGAGATTCCTCAGCAATAGACATCTAGAATCTCGTTCGTTAGTGAATAAAAAAACACTAACATTTGAATTGCCCCAAATGCCCTGGTACGGCCGGGAGTGGGGAGAGTCCGTTCTCCCTCTCGAAATGCTCTCACATGGCCACGCGTATATAGCCTCTCCCACAGAAGTCCTACTCACTGCCTTCTCGTGGCGGGGGTGTTGTTTACGAAAATGAGAGGACGAAAAGCGAATGTTTGGCGCTTTAACTGGATCCCAAACCAATGGTGCACACGGGCTCAAGTATTCAGCGGGAACAAATGGCATATGAACCAATTGTTGGTCACCGGCTTCCATGGGACTGCATCTCCTTACGATGCTCCACTACCTTGAGGATCAAACCCTCAGGTCGAAGGCTCGGGATGTGGCCACCTAAGAAAACCACCTGCTTCGGTTTGGGCACCCGGACAGTATCACAGCCCTCACACATATCGAATGGGATTTGTGTGGCGCATATGTATTTGGTGCCTCTTTGCACCAATATCTATGTGTTGAAATAAATAAATAAACATTTGAATTATTTATGCATTTATTGGGCGGCATAACATTATGTAAATTCATGTTTTGTTTTGTACATTCAAATATCATTATCATAACGCTTTTATTCTATACATTTTTATTACAACAATAATAACTTTAAAGAATTTAACATTCTTCTTCTTTATTAAATAAAATATCATAAATTTTTATCGTTTGCATAAGATGGCTAATGAGAAAAAAACACTTTGACCAACTTAAAATGAATAATTTTTTATTAATATAAGTTTACTACAAGTTATAGGCTTATTTATAATTAAAGATTAATGTGAAGCTGTCAATGAATATTAACTTATGAAATCACAACAATAAAGACTAGTTTCAATTTTATTCAGAAAATCTTACTTTTCCTACTAGAATTTTTCATTTTCAAAATTATTCATCATTATTACTTCCATTTAGTATCAGAAGGGGTTTTGTGAATATTATAGTAATTTTAATAGTTGAGATCATGAGTCAACTGAAGCTAGATCACCACGGAAAACCTGGAAACGCTGGAGGACCGGCTCACTGGTGTAGAGATTAAACGTTCGCGAGCGAGACCGATAGGCCTTGGATTCGAATCTCGCGAGCGGGGATCGTGGATGTACATTGATGAGAACGAAACAGCCGTCCACTTCTTCCAGGTTTTTCATAATGGGCTAGCTTCAATGGACTCATTATCTCAATAATTAAAATTTTATTTAATATTTATATGATGTACAAGGATATCCATATACGTGTCATCCAATAAAGAAAATTGTACACTGTACTATAATTTTGAATATTTTCTCTCTCTCTCGTAATCAATCCAATCCAATTATGAAATATTCTGAAAATTCTCTTGAGGATCTTATATTCATGGGATTCTCAATACAATAAAATTGATATATATATATAAAAGAACCCAATATATATTTTGAGAACTAATTGAATTTTAATTAAAAAAAACCCCAAAACAATACGACATAATTGGTCAAGTTTATTTTCAGTAGAAAGTTTATTAAACAAATACAAAAGTAATTTTAAGTTATAAAAAAATTATTTCAACCATGGTAAATAAGCCTCATTATAAATCATTAATCTATAGTTTATCCTTTGATTTGAAACCAGGCACTCGAAATGAAATACATGAGAAGTATTCCTTGAATGATTACATGAAGAGATATTACTGAAAAGGATTTTTAAATGATAATAATATATAATTACTTATTATTACCATTTTTGTATTCTAAATATTTCACATTATATCAATTATAACCTATGTGAGAATATTTCCTAAATGAAATACACTAATACATTATATTGTAATTATCCTTAAATACTAAAACATTCACTCTAATTTCAATCAGTGATAATCCAATCTCATGACAACACGTGAAAAAATAAAAACTGAGAAAATATTACTTAACTGTGTTATTATGACATTTATGTATAAATATTTTTGTGATTAGTTGGGAGAAAAAAAAATGTTCTGCCTTTGTACGTTTAATGAAATCATATTAGATTTGTAATTTTGTTTACAAATTCATTCTCTTGATTAATTTTATTGCAAAATAGAAATAATAGAAGACAACGCTTGATTTGTGAATTATTATTTAACAAGAATACATCGCTACTTTTAAGAAAAATTTTTTTTAACTAATCTAAAATTATCAGAAAAGGTTTTGTGGAAATTTTAGTAATTTCAATAGAGTCATTTCCTGGAGTTCTAGTGAGAAGCCGTTACTAGTGGAGTTCAAACAGGTCTGTTGTGAGATATCAGCTCACTGAAGACAATGGTGTACGGTGGAGCAATTTCGTGGACTAGTTGGATGCTGGCTCAGTGGTCTAGTGGTTAAACGCTCGCGCGCGAGACTGATAGGTCCTGAGTCCGAATCTCGCGGGGGGCGGGATCGTGGATGCGCACTGCTGAGGAGTCTCATAGTAGGAAGGGACGGCCATCTAGTGCTCCCGGGTTTTTCATGGTGGTCTAGCTTTAATTGACTCTTGATTTCGACTATTGAAATTAATCTAAAATTGTCAGAAAAAGCATTACAATGATGTGCATTGCTGGTTCAACAGTATAGCATTTTATTCGAAGGAACTGTTAAGATTCCATATTAGTATGAATATTATTCGGAAATATCAAACATTCTATTGTATTAGCTAACGGCCTAGGACATTGATCGCTACCAACTATCAAAGTAAATAGTCACAACCTATAATCTATAAGAGTTGCCTTAACTTTTATTGGTGAACCGAGGCAATTAAACAAGGTATATTTTAATTGGCATGTTAGCTAACTTTACCATCCAATGAACGTAATGTAATTCACAAGTCAAATGATATAAATAAGGTAAAACTAAATATCACTGGGGTATAAAATATCGATAGAAAGTGTAAATCCCTTTTGTGTATTTGTTGGCGAACATCAATATAGTATATCTGAAACAACATAAAGACTTGGGGAAAATAGCTGCCTTAAAGATATAATAGTGTATTAAGGAATGATGGTAAATCAGTTGATGAGGTTGTGAATCTACATCGATTGAGATGGTTGGGCCACGTATTACACACGTCCAACCACCGATCACCACGGCACACAGTGGTGACTGGTGTCGGAGACGGATGGAACAAAGTAAGAGGCGGCCAAACCAAAACGTGGCATCAGTCCACAAAATCATTAACTTCTGGTCTGAGCCACGTTTGTTGATGCAGATTACTTGGTTGGGGTCCATGTGACTAACGTAACCAATGGTTGCACACTCTGGGTGACATGGCTAAGAATCTATCGCAATGGCATAGATGTAAATATACGTTATTTCCCTTTGGATCATATCCTTAAATGGAATCTCTTTTTATATATTATTACTACTGAAGTAACTGCTTCATCTTGTTGTGCTAATGAGGTATGGTAACTTTGACCGATCCATACATATCTGTGGTCCTACATTATAGGTCATTGACTGACGAAAGGCAGTTGGTGTATGATAGTTGGGCTTGTCCAAAACACTAGTTTCCGTACATCAAACAAAGAAAGCATAGTGATGGTGTTCCTCTATTACTGTTGCGCATAAATCCAGATATACTAGCTGAATCAGATCTGGCCAAAGCTGAGATCTCATCAAAATAGATGAATCATTACTGAGGATCACGAAATACATAAAGCTATTTTCAAAAATGTTAACAAGAACTTGTATAAGATATTATGACGTGTCTTCTTAACGAAGAGTTGAGAAGTTGATCAATAGTAATTTTCCCATATCTCCAGCAAAATATTATTAATGATCGATGGCACCATGAGGATATATATATCCTCCACTTACTTTCTTTGCCACGTAAGCAAAACCAAAAATAATCACATATATATTTCATTTATCAGAGTAGCCCACTTTTCAGGCAATAATAATTATAACGATTGCAAATGTAAGATTATTTCATTTACAATTCACTTATGTACAAAATAAAATTCTAACCATAGAATTAAGTTAATGATCTTTTGTACAACAGATTATCGAAATTGAGAAAAACCGAAAAATAATAAAGAAAATCGAATGACTATTCAAAAGAGGAATGAAATTGCAATCAATAACTGCCAAAGTATCGAACGAAAATTAGACATAAATTAAAATATACTCGAACAAAGAGATCACTTGAAGTAACAAGTAATAAAATTTTATCGACTTGAAAGTTTATGTATATATATCGACTAGTTCTTCGTTAAGAGAGGGAAATGCAGGAAAACAAATCTACGAATATACTACAAATATTTCCGCTAGTTGTGTAAACATACATAACAATCGAATTGTCGACAGGATAGAATAGACTATGACTAGTAAATACGTCGATCAAGTTCTTCTGAACCGTTGGTACAAGGCAGTTCATTTAGCCATTCCGTACGTTCTAAGTGTGAACTAGGTTTAGATGTGATGTCCAACTGATGCAAACACCGAATCGTCGTTACCACATCTAAACTGATTGACAACGTAGCATCTCTTAATCGTCGGCCGGCAATCCACATTGAAGAAACCAGGAAGCAAATGTTATACGTTAATATGACTAGGCCTAGCCCATAACTAGGCGAAACAGATGAATAGCCGAAAGCACGAGAAATAAACTGACGGAAAATCGATTGTTTTTTAGCTTGGATCGGGCGGGGTATTGTTAATTCATCTAGATTATTCGGTGAGGAAGAACTAAATGGATTAATTATATGGATAAAATTAAACCAGTTGAATGAATCGAAGTATGTGCCACTGATCACTTTTGTCCACCAACTGATAGATTTTTTGCTCGATTTTGTACTCGGACAGTTGGACGTATTTTCAGCACAAATAAATCGGTTTTGTGAAGATTCGCAGACATGACTTGAACATTCTGAATATGTGGGTAACATGATAGCTTCTGTTTTAAGTGGACTAGGTAAGGTGAGTGTGGTTAATCCTAGCAGATTGGTTTGCAGAGGAAGTGCGGCACTTAACATTAGGAATAACAAAATGTTCGCCAACATAATATCCAAACTCGTTGCGTGATATCTCGGTCGAAGAGAACGAGCACATGGGAGTGAGTAAAAACCCCACAAACTTAATACAAGAAGAAACAGCACCAGACAGACCTAGAAAGTAAATAATCAATCAATTGGGAACGCGATAAACAGAATGTTGTAAAACTTGAGTACTATTTATTATATTTAACGATAGGTTTGAAAATATAAATTCCATAATAATTACACAATTTTAGTAAAGTAGCATTGAAGACAAAACCTATTATAACTAAAACTACTAAATATGTTGGTCAACAAGTGAAATTCCCTGATTGCTTACTAGTGTTTATTAAAGAGATTTTAAAACATCATAATAAAACAAGTATTAAAAGTTAAAAAAGACAATCCAGCATGATGTCTGTTGTAAACGCAAGTGTTCAGGGAAAATAACAAAAACTGTTGAATAATGTTCTTCGTGTCACGAGAACTTTTTCGTTTAATGATAGGCGCAAACACAAAAAATTTCTACTCTTTGGTTGCATATACTTTATCTGACAGGAATTTCGCCACGATTGTTATGGGAGCGCAAGTCAGGAAACTCGTTTTCATAAACCTAATAGGTGGAACAAAGCCCATAGGAGCTTAAACTTCAGCTCGAACCATTGAGCCACATGACGTGTACAAGTAGTGGATGGCGTAAAAACCTGAACGCGCTTTCACATATTAAACGTCTTTATCAAGTTTAAACCAAATCCATTGGCACTGTGGTATACTGTATACTTATACAGCAAAACGGTGAACACTAATGCTTATGGAGCAAAATGAGCATAATTATTAATGGTCGGCTTGAATTGTATTATTAATACATAAAATCACATGCAGTGTAGATATCCGTAGAAGCCCGTATCTCAACTGACTTACTAATCACGTAATAAAAGTGACTGGAAGACGTTATTCATACCTACCAGTATCTCTAATCCTTGAATTCAGAATCCGGTCTAATTCATACTCCAAAATAGGGTTTCAGAATATCATTTTGAAGAATGTACAAGCACAGCTATTTATCACTGGAATCGAAATATCAGAACAGGTACAAGTTCTTTAATATTAGAAACATAATTTGATGAAGATTGGTTGTATGTGAGAAGCTTGCGTATATGATGCCCAATCAATACCACTCAAACAGCAATATATTGAAAAGTTTGTAAACTTAGCAGAATAGGACGTCTCAACTATTATGTATTAGGTGTAATGGGAGTGATTTATGTAATTGCTATTTAAAATACCATATGATTACAGATAAGAAGACACGCTAAAAATGTTTGGAACCAGTCATACCTCACTTATTTACATACACACGGGAATATGTAAATGAAAAAAATTACCTGGAAAGCAGCCCCAATATGTCCAAGTGACGAAACAGGTTTTAAGCCAAGTGTAAAACTGTAATCTGCAGAATTACCCAGAGATGATGAATAATCTTTACTTTCTGTTGTCACCAAATAACTACTGCTGTCTTTACTACCATAATTGCCAAAAACCATACTCCATAAGAGATCAATGATATTGAAGAATACAAACGATTCCAATAAGCGAAACAGAACAAAAAGCAAGATTAAACAGAAGAAATAAAAAAGCAAGTGTGTAGATTCGCGCATAAATCGCAAAAACGTACGTGCGTTTATACGTTGTTTAATCTGTAATATTTCTAAGTTCAACAAATCCAACTCATTTGTATACTTGAGTAATAACTCTTCTTTTGACTTGACATCGGTATGATTCCGAAAACAGATTGATTTATGAACCAAAAAATTATCTTCCTCATTCATCATATTGCCAGCAGTACACAGAAGTTGGACACAATTAATGTCATCCATGACGGTTAACGCTTCAAAATTTAATTGTTCAATACGATTATGCAATGTTTGCTTTGGTATTAAATTCGGTAAAGAATGTATACTGATTGTGATTAGGTTTAAAACGATAGACAGTAGACCCACTGGAGTGCAAATAAATAATAATAACAGTCCTAATAAAGACGCTGTCATTTGGATTAATTCTAAAGCTGACATAAATATCACCTGAATGAAAATGTCCTGAAGAAATCTTATCCAGCCAACAGACTTCACGTAATCCAGGAGAAGTGAAACTGGGTGATTTTCATAATAGTCGAGGTGATGAGTAGGACTGACAGAAAAATAAGTCTGATGGTGGGATGTAAGAAATGAGTTGCTATCACTAGCAGGTAACACATCTGATAAAAAATAATAATTTAATGCTGATACAAAGCTGGTTAGCGACCATGACGTACCAAAACACAAAATGTAAAAGAATAAAACCATTGTGAAGGAATAAACCAAGCGTGATGTCAAGGAATGTGATTTGTATAGAAATCCTTGAGAATTTAACAGAAAATAAGAAAATGGTATAATTAAATAAGATATTTTACACCCGATATTAATAAGCAATATCAAGTCTTGTATTAACTCCCCATTTAACCATTGTACATAATAAGATTTAGGAAAAATAATTAGAATCTCATTGGTGATGATGGTGAACGGCAATAAGCTGTATGAAGTCAGGCCTATCGTCAGTGTAAATGTACATATACCCAAGACCAGTTGGTAAGCTAAACGTTCACCTCGATGTGGCTTTAACTCACATTCCGTTTTAGTTAGAAAATACTGAAGTGTGATATGAGCAATAAAGAAAAGGATGGTGAATAGCAAAAAGACAACAACTAGTCCACGAATTTCATCATAAAATTCTTTTGCTTCATGACTGATCAATACCAATTCATCTGTCTGGTCCATGTAATCATTAATATCTAAAACAGAAGAAATTTGAACATGTGTTAGATGAGAGATAGAAAAGATATAATCAACAAATTGTACTACAAATCGATTGGACATCCATTCATCTTTCACATCTAATTGTTTTGGTTTGCTAAGTATATTCAAGTGATTTAAACACGGAGTGTATTATATGGGTTTCAAAAGAAAACAACCGCAGAACATTGTTGTTTTAGCTAACCTATGTATGTTTATACTTTGGACTACACAACATACAAATGTTTCTCTTTAACTTGTTTAAATATTAGGTGTCTTGAAATTTCCTTAAACATTTGAGTTTTTATCAAAGTTGTAATATATTTTCCGAAAGTGAACATCATTAAATGAAAAGCTATTTTTCCTTCTAAAACATTACATTTTTGGGAACCAGTCAGTTATAATCGACAGAGAGACTAATGCAATTACGCGTTAACCCAAGTCGCAATACCACTGAGCACGATAATATGAAGTCAATATAACGAATACAAGCCCAGGCAAAATAATTATAGCACCAATGACAGTGAGAGAGACTGAATACAGGATAGGGTTTAAGAAGAAAAAATGAAGAGGTTTGTGTATGAAGAAATACTGGGGCTAGCTCTAGAAGATATAATTTGATTGCATTTACGCCAGTAAATGATTTCGAGTCAAGTCACCAAACGTCTCCAACTAATAGTTGAGATAATCAAGAGGGCCCTAACAAGGTAGTCTAGATCAACTTACTGGCCTTGATCCAGCAGTCCATAACTGCACAAACTGATGCTACACCTTGATTATTCCGCCCATACTTCTCTATTAACTTATTCTCATACTAGCTAAGATTTCACGTCTGGACATACGCAAACTCGTTTTTAGTCAAGTCAAGTTGTGCCCTTGTCCTCGAACGATAATCTACCCTAAAATGACATGGAACGGCTGAGAGTGGGGAGAGTCAGCTCTCCGTTTCGAAATGCATCACATGGCCAGGTGCATACAAGCACTATCAGGAAGTCCTACTGACCGCCTTCTCGCGAAATTACTGTTGTTTATGAGATTGAAAAGACGAAAAGAGAATGTCTGGCGCTTTAACCGGTTTAGTGCATATGGAGGATCCACTTAGGGGAGTTCGAAACCCCTGGTTCCAAAACAATGGTGCACATGGGCTGAAGTATCCTGAGGGAACAAATGGCGTATAAACCAATCGTCGGTCACCGGCTACCATGAGACTGCATCTCCTTACGATACTCCACTGCCTTGTGCATCAAACCTTCAGGTCGAAGGCTCCGGACGTGGCCCCCTAGGAAAACCACCTGCTTCGGTTTGGTCACCCAGCCAGTATCACAGCCCTCACACAAATCAAATTAGATTCGTGTGGCGCATATGTATTTGGTGCCTCCTTGTACCAATATCTATGTGTTCAAATAAATAATAAATAAAATAATTTGGACAACTGAAGAAACAGTATTACAAAGATCCAATGCAACCTTCCTTCGAGATACTGACAAACTCAACGACTTCAAGGTAGCTCTCAACAACAAGTTCCACGCCCTACAAGATCTACCCAGTGAAGAAGAGGCTACTATGGAGGACAACTGGGAACCTGTTGTCGGCCATCGGCTACCACAGGACCGTATCTCCTGACGTTGCTCCACTGCCTTGTGGATTAGACCTTTAGGTCAATGACTCCGGGTGTGACCACCTAAGAAAACCACCTGCTTCAGGTTGGGCACCCGGGCAGTATCCCAACCCTAGCACATACCGAATGATTTATATGGGGCATATCTATTTGGTACATCTTTGTACCAATGTTTACGTTTGAATAAATAAAACATTTAAGTGAAAGGGCTAGAGATATTATTTGGTTGTTTAAACTGAAGGAGTGGGGTTCTAATCTGCGACGTAGTGGTTGAAACATGAATGCCTTAACTACTGAATCGTCGTTCTCACTTAGCACATGTCCCTACTATATCAATCGATGAGAATTTACAGTCTTATTCGATTTAGCAAAATTGCTTAGTACCATGCATCTAAAACTTACATTTTTCAATCGGTACTTCCAGCATTAGCAAGAAATGTGCAGAAGACGTCTATTAGAAACATCCAGTCTAAGCATGCCTTTTACTTTTATAATTCCAATTTCTTATCCATAGAATAAAACATACTGCCATATAGAATTAGTTGCACCTTGATAAGCAGATTAACATATCACCTACTCCGTAATCCATAAAATTTTGAAAAAAAAAGAAATCTGACTACACACCAACCCACTAGAGCTGATGAGTCTTTTAATCTACGTGCAATGTTCAATGAATCCAACCATTTCATTACCTATGATTACTCTAAGCGATGGCACAGGCCCATCCCGAAACAACATTCTGCATGTAAGGCAGAAGAGGATCCAAAAAATTTACTTATGTTCCTACTCAAGATTTCATGAGAATCACATTTTGTCCGCGTCCTTACCAAATAAAACTTTTTTGTGTATTTCAAGCCTTTAGATGAATTATGCAATGAGAGAATAACCCCTAGAAAGTCAGACAAAGAAACTGTTGTCTCTCAAATTATGTATACGATGAAGTTAAATAAACATAGGGGTAATGTACAACTTTGACGAACACCACTTGAAGTCCACAAACATAACAGCTTGCAAAAAGCTTCAAATGAGTTAAATGTTCGAGTAAACCGCTTTCACTAAGTTTATGCACTTCTTTGAATTACATTTCAATGACAAACATTGCCGCATAGCACCTTGCCGATTTCGTTGGAACTCAATAGAACTTTTGGACTCGGCTGTTTGTGAATATGAAAGTCACTAGTCATGAATGACAACTACTTACACTATCCGTTAACCCACAATTTAATAGAACATGACAAGTTTTGGACGGATTGCTTACTGAGTTATTGAAGACTGCCAAAAGTGGGGTTCAACAGGTAGCGATATAAAATAATAGGTAGTTTTATTCTTTGCTAGTACCACATAAACCCGATATTTTGGTATTTACTGGGTCACGTAGTCGCTGTGCGGCAATTTTACCTAACTTATATGAGATGGGTTTTATTTCAGAAGCGATGAACTGGATTAATAGATGAATATATTGTCACAACTATAAATATGCACACATCAGGTGCACGACAAAAAAACTCAGGAGAATTGTCAACTAAATCAAGAATATCTAATTTGACAAATGTAGGATGTACATTTGATAGATCGAGTAGGTAATAAATGTACATAGATATAGTATGGAAAATTCTGATGTGACGTTATTGTGTTTAGTTTACGTATTGCTGAATCAACGCTCAGCCAAATGACTATTTCATGATTTTTAGAATACACAATAGTAAATTACAAGCGCCATTACAACTCAAAAGAAAGACATAACCGATGACATTCAAAGGCCTCGCTACATGTTCACTAAATTCTACTGAGTATGGTGTGAACATCAGAAGAAACTACGTGTTATAAAGATATTATCAACCAACTTAGACACGAGGACTTGTTTTTCATGGAAAAATTTTGGATAATTAAGTAAACATACCAAGTCATGTTATTTCAGAAAATAATCCAAAAATGAATTGTGATGGATCTTGTAATTTACCAAACAATAATTTGCAAATATAGGAATGTCTACCAATATAAGATCTAGAAAAAGTGGTAAAACATGAAAAGATCAGTTTTGTTTGAAATAGAAATAAACCTAGAAAAAATAAATTTACTAAAAACGTAATGTCCATTAATAGCTTATAACAAGCATTTTAGATTACTGTTTTTCAAAAATATCGCATCGGAACATTTCACAAGGTACCTAAATGTGTATGGATCGCCAGGGTGCACAAGTAGCATGATAGATCAGATAATATGTTTCAGCAAAACTAGTGTACTTTATTGTGGCAACAACTGATATCAGTACAAGATTATACGACGCGTTGTGTGTATCGTCATAATTTTGTTCATAAAACCGGAAACGTGAGAGTTCTTTGCATCTAGAAATGGGATATTAGAAGGTCAAGCACACCTTGATTGAAAAAAGGTAGAGAATATCAGTCCTCACGATCACAAGAACACTTCAAGATTGGTTATGATGGGAATGAAGTATATAGTGAAGTGCCACTGCTTTTTATAAACTCAAACACGAAGCCATGGGATCTTACTGCGTAGCTTATGATGTACAACAAAAAAGACGGAACACGATTATATTCTCATCCTTTATATTCGCTCTCATACAGTGTCAGGTTAATTGGTCAATTTAGTAAAACGAAACAACCTTTTTATTGAAGTTCTTTTTAACAGAGCTGTTGACAGAAAGTGATACCTAACTGCTCTTCAAATTATTAAAATAAAGTCCAATTAGTAATAGAAAAGACAATTAACATATAAAATGATTTTGACAATTCTAAAATGAAAACGATTAGTACTAGCTGCAAGTACTATCACCAAGTGTAAACATTCCAACATTTGCAAATAGAGTTGTGGTTTTTTTCCAACTCAAGGATTTGTAATACACTTTAGGTAGAAGAAACATTATTTCATCAGTCGATAATGTCTACCATGATAATAATGGAAGATCTACTATTTAGTTTAGCTGAATATTGGATATAATTTGAGTCCCGAGAATTTTTGGACTATTTAGAAAGAAGTTCACTATCTTAAATTGTTAGATATGTACTGTGTAACTCATCGGATCGTTTAGAATACTATTGGAATAAACCCGTCAATCAGATGCAAACCATTTTCAGTTCAATCGTTCCACATGTATCACTTGAACAATCAATAATTTTCAAATCATAAAGTAATGTCTGGCTTACTTATACCACTGTGAGAAACACCTTAAACACACCGAAAACCCAAAGATTATTTGGAGCGCCACATCACCTTGATATGTAGTTAAACTTCACGGGTCATACAACTGATTTCTAAAACCATAAGAGAATGTGATGAAAGCTGAAAACGTTTTGACCTACGAAAGCATAAAGAGTAAGTGAAGCTATGAATTCTTTCCCACATGTCACATAATATCGTGTATTTTAGATATCTTTATTTATCAGTTGCGAACGAAATTCTTACCGTTTCATGTCACATAGCCTTTATCTCGGTTCATAAGTAGTTTGGCGTTGTTATTACTCACTACCTAAGTAAACGGTTAGTCAACTGCAAAGTGGTGAAATTGTATTGATCTAAATGTGCCACAAGTATTCGGGGTTTGACAGCATCTAAACCAATAACGCCTTCAATGATCGAAACATGACAACCCAGTGAAATAAGAAGTCAGAAGCAAAAACGTTCAAAGATATATCTGATAGAGTATCGATATTTTTATTGACCACTACGGATCATTCCCCGACCAAAGTACAGTAGTTATGACCCTAAGACGTGGCCAGAAACGAGTTTAAACCCAATGAGTTTGTCATTGACAAACACTCTTCCGATAGTTTGCCATGTTTAGCAACGTCCGGTTGTCCGTCCTTACCATAAGAAGCCATGTGTTAAAATATGATAATGGAGAAAAGGTACAATGAAAAGTTCGGTTCATTGAAAACTTTTTTTTTCATCTTTTCTAACACTTGTGGGAAAGAGTGAGAAAGGCTAAATGGTTCTGTAACAGCATAGGTTGGTTGGTTAAGAGTTGACACCGAACAAGAAAGCACATGTCAAAACAGTATCGTTCAAGTAATCATTGACTTCCTTATTTTATATGGGCGTTATATTTCCCATTAACTTATATTGAATGTTGAGAGGCTTTGTCTGTCTGAACAAATAATCTCACGCTCCACTGTAACTGCACAAAGATCGACATAAAAACCTATTCACTACTTTTCTAGTTTCTTCTATCAATAGCACGTGGGTTACCTTAAGGCACGAAAGTTCAACTAGTTCAAATGGTTGTGGACGGAATAAAAGAGGCTTTCGCTTAACAGACTTCCGTGAATAGTAGCAGGAGATCAAGAATAACTCCAGGCAGGAAGCTAGGTATGTTTACGATAAAAGAGGAAAAAGAAATTGGTAAATCATTGTATGATGCTATTCTTAGACCTTAAAAATAGATCAAGTTGCCTCTTAAAAGACTCCTGAGAAGTCGCTTGGACTAGCTCGGCCGGCAGCGAATTCCGGCATTTGAAAACTCTTAAGGGGTAGAAGTTGTGTGTACAGTCCGTTCTGCTATGTTGTGTCTCCGATTTCTGTGTGTCACCCCTCAGGTTGGTATTAGGACTAAGATTAAGTAGGTGTTTAAGATGATGTCCAGAAGGGGTAAGGATAATGTAAGCCATCAGAAGGTCATCTCTAAAACGCCTATACTTTAATAAGTAAAGGTTAAGTGATTGGAGGCACTCTTCATAAAGTTTAAATTTGAGTCCCTTAACTGAATTCGTGACTCCTTGTTGGATACGCTTCAGAGTGTCCTTATCCTTTGTAAGTGCATGTGGAAATAGATAACTACGTGCTTGAAGATACAAAACGGGAGAAAAAGGGTGAATAAACACAAACATATGCGTTTTGCGAACGTGCAATATCGTGGAAACAGTTTAGGCAAAATGAGATTTTGCTTCTTTGGAGAAATAAAAATATATACATACAAGCATAATGTCGATAAAAAAATTAAACATATATATGAGCATACTCAAAATAGTTTGTTTCTTGACACCTTAATAACAAAAATATCGACAAGAAATAGTGTTATGTAGTGTTCTACTTGCAGTAATCTCTCAGATGTTCTCGAAATCTGAACGCGTTGCTTCGAGTATGTTGTCAGATACCACCGAAGTGTCATGGTGGTTGTTGGTTATCGGGTGAGGTATCATAATTGTGAGACATGTCTTTCGTTTGTACCGAAGAAATCGACATTCATAGGGCTTCATACTACAACGCGGTATCGGGCCAACCGAGGTTGATAATGTCGTTAGTTTCTTTTTATCGATCATATTGTGCTTAGGTTTATGCTGAACGACTTTGAAGGGTCCTTAGTACGCCAAGACAAAGGTAATCGAAGTGAGCTGCGATGTACAAAGAGGTATGTGCAATATGGTATGGCAGTTCTAACGAAAACATCAACTGGTTGTAGTTGAGTGAAAACAGGTTTAACTGAACACATTATATTTGTACGACTGCTCGTGTAAGAGATTAGATCCACATTCATTGGTGGAGGTGAAGGATTCACGAATTCTCCTGGAAGTTGGAGTGTCGTTCTACTAACTAGTTGAGCTACAGTGTATCCAATATCAGCTTTCACTGCATTGCGAATACCAAATAAGACGAATGGAAAAGAGTCGGTTAACTGTAAACCTTTTTGCAGCTGAGTGTGACGCTTTGAGCTGTCGTTGAGAGAGTTCTACCAACCCATTTGCCTGTGGCTGGTAGATGGTAAATTGGAATCTCATGACTCCTAATAGTGTAACCAGAAATCGGAAAAGTTCAGATTAAAATTGGCGTCCACTGATTGAGCGATATTTGAAGGCATTCGAAATTTGCTACCCATCGTTTGACGAAGGCGTGGGCCGCTGTTTCAGCAATAATATTCTTTATGGGTACTGCTTCTGGCAATCGAGTGAAACGGTCAACGCAAGTGAAGATATAGGAGTATCCATTTAAATATGGCACAGGTTCTAATAAATCCAGATGAAAATGGTCGAAAAGATAATCCGCAGTTGTGGAAGAGCCTAAGGGACATTTGTTTTGTGTAATCACTTTGGATTTCTACCAACTTACACAGGAGTGTGCCCATTCTCTCACATCTTTATTCATACCAGACCAGCGAAATCGTCCTGCTATGAGCTTGATGGTTGCACGAACACCTGAATGAGAATGTTTTTGCAACGTATTGAAGATGTTGCATCAACAATGTTTGGACACGACTGGATGATCTCTACCTGTAGATGGGTTGCTCAATAAGGTTACCTTACCTGTCCCCATTTATTTAATAGGCAGTTTCAAAGTTGTTGAAATTAACTCATGCTGTAAACAGTTGTCTCCTTTTTGATGCTGAATGAATTTAGGAAGATCGATTTATTGGAAACTTTTTAATCAAGTCATACGAAACAAAGCATCTGCCACTACATTCTTTGGAGCAGAAATGTGTTGTAAGACTAACGTGAGCTGAAAAATGTAGTCTAGTTGTCTGAAGCTGAGCTTAAAAAGAAGGAGAAGTGTTTATAATCGGTAAAAATAATGAATTCTCGGCCTTCCACAATGTGTTCAAAGTGCCGAGGATTTAAATAAACAGCACTATCTCTCTTGCAAGTGGCTATCAGAATTCAGTAGTTATTTGAATAAAGCGATGGCCTTTGAAGCGAATGGTACTGGGTTCAACTCACAAAGTGAACATCAAATATAGGATGCCGGTACATCCAGCAGACGAGTCCCAAATAGTACAAAACGTTCATCCTGGATTCCACAGCTAGAGGTTATCTTTGTTTGTAGTCTAGAGAATTACATCTGCGGGAAATTGCTTCCATCACCGAATGATTCTTAAATCTATCATACGTTCCAATTCGTTTATTACCAACTTCATCTTTTCGGGTGCCAGTCGGCGCGCTTTCGAGAATACAGGTGGTGCTGTGGGGCACGGTTTAAACGTCAGGTCCTTTCGAAATGTGCCCGCCCTTTCGTTTCAACGACCTTTAACGGCTTGACCAGAGGCGGTCATTCCGTATTTCAATTGCCGTGGGTTGGTTGGGTTGAATGTGTATCAAGTTTTTTCATATATAAGTCATCTAATGCTACATAAAAAAGCACGAAATAAATATCAAAACCATTAATTTAGCGTTCTCTGTTTTGTAGTGTACACTTTGGCTCTGTTGTTTTTTTGTAATTCGATCTTTGATCCCAACAACTGTAGTAAAGCTCAACGAAATGTCACGTCACAGGTAAATCCCAAGTATTTCCTTGGGTTATTATTGTTGCATGGTATAACTATTTAATAATTAGTCATGTCTGTTTTTAGTGCTTCATCCCCAAGTGACATTTCAATCGACCTAACCGATGCCTTTCGAAGTATGATACTGAACAAGCGTTTCGTGTTGTGGGATGATTTTGAAAGGGCCTTAAAAGAGTTCCAAAAAGTATGGAATTATAATTTTATCGCTTCTCAGACTACTTATACTCGTTACATCCACACAGAAAGCAGATTGCTGAAGGATGTCATGTTCAAATACCTGTTTGTAACGTTTAATTGTACGTTTGGTTATAAACGGAAATCGGAAGGTTTGAAAGTGAGGCAAAAATCGTAAGATCTTTAACTAATATCTTATGTGTAAGGTCTAAATTCCGTAATTGTCAATCTAAATTCCGTGTAAGACTAGAGGAACAAGGATATGTCATCAAATCCTACAACATGCTCCACAATCATCCATGTAGTATTTCATGGATGGTATGTGATCCATGGACAAGGAGATTATCATCAGAAGAAAAAGAGAACTTGAAGCCCGTAATACTTCACTGTGAGTCAGCAGATCAAGTTATCGAAAGTAATAAGGAGAGAACTGGTAAGCAAGTAACTGCTGCCGATGTCAAAGGTGAAATGACGTCAGCTAGGAGAATTATCGAAGATCAAGTAATAGCCGCAAGATTTTATAAATATAATGCTCCACAGCGTCTTATACCCTTGCTAAACATTTTGACCCCATTCGCAAGATCTAAAGTGTTATACAAACTTAAACAAATGCGTTTCGTCTACGTGGTATATGAAAGCGGCGACTGGTTGTTTATGGTTGACCGCAGACAACATTATGAAGTGGATGTAAGTATTTGTCAATGCAATTGTAGCACGTTTATGATGTGATGATGATGACACCAGAAACACTCAGGGTTATCTGTCCCTCGTGATGTAGAGACAGATCGTTTCCGTGAAGCACGCCTTCTGGGAGTTTGAGATCG